CTTTATACAATCATTCACTTGCTCATTCAAATAGTCTTCCACAGATAAGTAAAACCGTTATTCGAAAGAATAGTTAATCTGAGGCTAACTAATCCGTTGTTTTGCATGGTGAAATGTACAGTAAGTTATCTGAGAGTAAAAGTACGGAATATCTTTATTCTCGGGCTAGTTAATCTTAGACAACGACGTCGTTGGTGAAATTGGCACTAACTTAGAGATGAATATATTATCCGCAGTAGAACTGGAATAACAGACATAGGTCAACAGTGAACTCTCAAGTGGCAATGGACCGACAATGTAGCTCGAAGAGCTGACAACCGATTGCAAGGAAATGTTCTTTTTTTAATACCTATATTCATAAAAAACACACATTTACAGTAATAATAAACATCGCCATACTTTGCTACAGAAGTGGCATCGTACCAGTTAGCGGCATGTAGGGTGCCCACCGCTAGACGAAGTGATATCAAGCAAGACATAGAAGAAGTCGGCGGAAAACAATTGAATAAATTCGGTGAAAGCAATAGCTGTGTTATACTAATATCATTTAATTTGTCAGCACAACTGCCGGAACAACTGCTGTGAAATCAGGGTGACAACATATCTGCATTTTGATTTTTAACCGAGAACAGATAGACACAGATAGATAGACGTCTATGGGTCACTGTATCTACTTACCATCAGATGGACTGAGTATTCGTTTATCTCAAATCAACAAACACACACAAAAATATAGCTTCCAACAGATTCCAATTGTCTGGTTTACACTCAACGAAAATTACTAGACCATGTAGCGTCGAAGGATTGAGACATCTGCTATTGCGATTGTCAATACGCCTGCCAAGAGTGGAGATTAAGTCAAATCCTCCCTGTAGCGGAAAAGGTCAATGACCAGCAATGAACTTTTGAGTGCTGATGTAGAAAAAGAATTATTATAAGATAATGCTGTACTTTGGACGAAATTAGTATTTAAGGTTTTCATAGCGTTTTATTATCTTGTTTTGTATTCTCGACGTTTCAAGTGCTTTACAGCACCCATGGTTTTAGGTGGTACTGAGGTGATTAACGTCCCAATGTCTGAATCAACCACGGCTACCTTCTGTCCAAAATATTAAAAATTCCAATATACTTACAAGATAACATACGTAAAAGCTAGTTTCATCCAGTGTGTAGTGTTTTCCTAAACCTAAGAAATCATAACGCTGTACTCTGGTGATGATTTTAGGTAATAAGATATCATTTCATGCTTTTCAAATAATAAATAAAAAATATTACAAATTTATATATATATATATTTATCTCCAGTTTTAAGGCACTCCCCTTGTTGCCTTATCCAGTATCGGAATCCTCGGCATTGACATATCGAGTGACGTGCACTTTCGTGGTCACTTGGAAAAGAAGGCCAAATCAGCCCCTAAAAATCTTGGCGTACTCAGTAGTGCGAAACATTATTTCATGCCGGCACACCGCCTGCGACTTTACATGGCACAGCGCTCACGCGCGTCTCGAATCGTCGACGACCGAGTGTTTTCCGATTGGTTCAATTCACTGGCGATGCGAAGAGATGTTATGTCCCTTTGCATTATCTTTCACATATATCACGGGAGTGATCTGAAGAATTGTTCCGATTGATAATAGCTGCCAAATTTCAAGAACGCACATCGCGGTCAAACTTCTCATACTCATACTATCTACACCAACTGGATGACCGGCGTTCCACCACTGTGTGATTTAAAAGAAGTTTACTTTCTCACACAACTTCATTGTGAAATCGACTACCACCAGAGATTTTTCCGATCCGGAAAAATTAGGGACCTTCAAGAAAAGAGCTTAATCTTTTCTAAAAGGCCGTCATCGTACCTGCGATTACCCTGGTGTTGCAGTTTTTCACGGGCGGCAGTAGTCACTTAATATCAAGTGAGCCGTATGCACGTTTGCCGACCAACTGCGCTGCTACCTCTGGGTTGCCTAGGTAGCCCCACAAAGCGAATGGGCTACCCAGGCATACCATTCAATCATATAAAGTATTTTAATACTTATCTTTCAAGTAAAGTAAGTAAAGTAAAGTTACAGCCTATATACGTCCCACTGCTGGGCACAGGCCTCCTCTCATTTCTGAGAGGGTTTTAGGGCAAGGAATAGTCCGCCGCGCTGCCCCAATGCGTGTTGGCGAACTTCACACGTCTTCGAAATATTTTTTTTCTTATTTCTCAGATATGCAGGTTTCCTCACGATGTTTTCCTTCACCACCGAGCACGTGGTAAATCAGCACTTAAAATTGCAAAAAAAATCAATGAAATTAACAATTTCATTGATGCCGGCGGGGATCGAAACCGGTTTGCTCGCGTATCTTTTAAGTAAGCTTGTGTATATGTGTACATTTATATTTTAAAAACTTGAAGTGTCTTTCTTTAATCATATTATTCATCAACAGTAAAATTTTAGATGTTTTTAAAATTATTACTGGCATCTTCTTATTGAAACTGACATTCAAACCTCTAAAATGTCAACCCTTAAATCTGCCGCCCGAGATCATGCACTCTCGATATTACAAGGCCACTGTTCATCCCTAAGACAATTATTTTTAACTACTGACTGACTGACTGAACGAAGCTAACTTGCCCAGCTACTTTAATATTAACAGAGCAATTATGCGCGTTGCCGCTATAACGCGAGTGAACTTAATCACACCGCGTACTCAGAGCCGCTCTGCATGTTTTATTAGCCCGCGAGGTTTGTGGTTTAGCATTTGTATGTACATATTATGTGCGTTTTAACCCTGTATCAACACAGAGCCAGTTTTGGTTAATAGTAAAGGGGGGGAAGCGAGTATGCGGCTCACCTAAAGATAAGTGTTGATCGTTGCTCATGAACAACGGTAATACCAGGGGAATTGCAGATGTGTTGCCGGCTATTTAAAATGGATAAATAAATTTAATATTATTTGGTTCGTACAATCAGTGTAATGATGCGTAGGTTATAACTTTTACCCAACTTCATTTTTTTAATGGGAAAATGCCTATGTATACCTCGCGAGGGTAGGGACGGGTTATGTCGGACCGACTAAAAGCGTTATAATGTTCAACCTTCGCCGCATATTGGCAGGACCACGAGAACGCCGTCGTACACATCCGCGGCATCACAAGCGCCGGCCGACCCATAGCAGTCCTTCCTCGGAAGGGACTTGTCCTTTCGCTACTTTTTCTTAAGTAAGGCACACCTGAAGCTCATAGCGCGTCTTTCTACGCAATACCCAACTACGTACATACTTTTACAGTGCGGGGGCGATTTAGAATATCGACTATCCATATCAACTTCTAAATAACAACTAAAAAAATTTAAAACTGCGATTTTCAATACTGCCAAGTTTGACAACTGTGGCAAATATTCTCCTAATGAAGCATCTATGAGGGAGATTTATGTTTAGTAGCGGACTTTCGGTAGTATGTAACAACGACCTCAGAAGTATGATCATATTTTTCGGGTGTATGTATGTGTAAGAACCGAATTTCAAGTGTATTTATGTGTCTTACGGTTCCTTCATTAGATTTGGATGTTTGAGGTATCTTTATACTGAACACATGCCTTTAGTGATACAGGCTACATTTCATTTATTTTTAGTATATTTTTAAATGAAAAAAAAAAACTACTAACCATGCTATGAACTCAATTAATATTCCATTTAACCACTCCTTAAAATGTTTGTATTAGGAGTGATTCGCAGTAGTCAAATGGCGGGTTCGAATCCACGACATTTTGAATTAAAATTCTGGCTTGCTTGCATTAAAATTCTGGTCTGGCTTGCTACAATTAGGTACTAACACTAATAGAATCTACGAAAAAAATTCAATAAATGATTGGGGTGAATTCTAACGACCGTCAATTTTCATCAATTCACTAGCTCTCTCAGCGACTCGCATGAATATTCAGTCGGATAAATATATAAAATTAAAAATGAATTAGCTAAGATTCGCGTAGTAAAATTAAATGATGTGTTTGAACAAGTATAAATAGCACCTCCCGCTCTGCCCTAATGGCGTGCACTATACTCGTCAACACTAATCCCAGCGCCACTACACTAGAAAAGGAAAACCAACGTCAAAATATGACACGTGTTTCACCTCTAAACGAGGCATATATATATATAATCTATAAAAACTTACACCTGTCACCCAGAGAGGTAGGCAGAGACTGCTGACTTCCATTTGACACGATCCTGACACACTTCTCGCCTCTTTACATCCATATATCTACGCATACATGCTCGTTGGTTAAGTGTACTCCTAGTGTGGCCCATTTTCAAAATATCGCCAATTTAGTCGATGAACCTTCTTCTAGGGCATCCTTTCCCGACTCTGCCGTTCACATCTACAATATAAATCTGCTTTGTCACTCTTTCCTCGTTCATTCTT